ACTATTCGAACAAACATTAAGGCTCTTTTTACCCTCAAATGAAACATTAGAAGTCAAAATGGTAAAAATAAAAAATGTAAGCTAAAATAATTATTTTAATAAATATTGGGGCTAATTTTGATATTGTGCCAAGATTTCTTAATATACGTTAGACTACACGTTTAATAAAAGTTCATGATATATATATATAGGGTAAATTATGAGTTTAGTACCTAAATTATTATTTTGGTCTGTTTAAATACCCAAGATTTCAGTTTTTTAAAATCATATCTAACATTTAATTTTTTTTTCATTTTAGTACCTGTCGTTACAAACTTAACACATTTAGTACTTAAACTATCAGTTTTGGTCCATTTTAGCACTTAAACTTTCAATTATTCTTCAAAATTTAACGTTAAATTTTTAACGGGTATTAAAATGAAACAAAAACTAAACGTTAGGTATGATTTTAAAAGAAATCAAAAGTTTAGATACTAAAACATATTAAATCTTATAGTTTAGGTACTAAATAAATAATTTACCCTGATATATTATATATTAGGACATTGCAAATGGTAAATACACAAGTTGTTTAGCGATGGTTTCGACCCCTTTGAAAACTTTCTCAATTCCCCAAATCCTTGATTGAATTATTATAAAATTTTAAAATAAATTTAATTGTGATATTTTAAATATGCAAATATAATATATTATTATGATTTTAAATTTCAATCGTTTGCATGCACTGTGGCTAAAACAAGACAATCCAGGAAAGAATATAGGCATATGTTAATGTCTGCCTAACATGAGATGAGACAACATATTGGTGGTGACAACTTCCTTAATGTCGACTCACAAATCTTAGCTATATATATATGTTATACCTAAATTTTTATGTAAAAAAATAGATAATATAATAATTATATGTTAATATATCTTAATTTCCTTATTTTATTGGATAAGTAAAAGAAAGCTAAAAATTTACACATATAATCATGTTTTTTAAATTTAGAAAACATTAAGTCAAAAGAATAAGCAAAAGGAGCCCCCCCGCAAGCTAACACCATCATCGCTCAAAATAATAAAAAATATTAATATAATTATATTTTTTTATTAATATGTTATACGTATAAGGTAATATTTGTTTAAAGATAACTTTCGGTTATTTGATATTAAATACTCATACTCATAATATTCCTGATGTTAGAACTCGAAGCCTAAAAATATTAAATTATGTAACATTTAAAAATATAAGATTATATAATTAAATTAGAGAGAAAATATTAAACTCATAACTTAGGTATAATACAATAACTGTTATGATGCTTTGAATTAATAATTTCCATACCATTATTTAATTAAAAATTGTAACATTTAAAAGTATAAGTATTAAAAGTGATGCTAAATTATGTAATACATAGAAAATTTATTAATATTGTAACATTAAAAAAGTTAAAGAAAATGTGTGAAAGCATTGTTGGTTGTTATTATTTTAAATAATAAAACCAGTAAAAAATAATCGAAAACATCATTATTTTGATCGATTTTAATTACCTATATAGGTAAATGCGATAAAAAAATTCGGTCAAAAAATAATATTTTTGATAAAACGCTACCTAAAAACGTTTACCTATATAAGTAATATAATCGATCAAATAATAATATTTTCGATTATTTTTTACCGATTTTATTTAATAATAAAACCGATAACACCTTATTTTAACCGTATACTAAACGCAGTACGGGAGCGTTTCCGGCATTGTTGTGTAGATTGCTTTTCGTTGCATCAGCGATCAGAGTTTCACAGGCAAAACAGTGTTAACCTATCCCAGAAAAAGGGTAATTTCTATCAGTAACTCACCAATTTATTACATCCTTTCCACTTTAGTCACCATATTAATGTTTTGGTAAAATCATTAGAAATAGTTTTTTTTTCCTATTTCATCCTATTATTAAAGGCGATTAAGAGAATTCACTTCTCTTGTGTTTCAAAGGCGATTAAGAGAATCGCAACGCGATTAAGAGAATCGCAACGCGATTTAGAAAATCGCAACGGTCAAAAGAAAATCGCAACGCGATATTCCAAGAATCGCAACGCGATCGCAAAACTGTCGGCAGTAGAGCTGTTGCATTTGTTTCTTTCTTAAGAATTTTCTCTAAAAAGATAGTATCCGCGCGTACGTGTCGAAGACACGTATTACCACAACCATGACCACGACCACGACCACGACCTGACCCGACCCGAGACGGCGGCGGCGGCGTGCGAGAGTCCCCCTTGTTCTCTTTCACTCAACAAGGAAATGGGAAATCCAAGCCTTAAATACACTTCCCAATAGTGTTTCCAATACTATGTGAGATTGAGCATTACTCAACACTTCAATGAAAATATAACAATTTTTGTAGCATGTTTCCCGCTTAATCCATATCTAAAAATATTAAAACATTTTATCATATTAAAACTATATGTATAAGTTTGAATTGAAATGTAGATATCTACAACTCTTTTAATTCTCTTGATAAAATGTTTTAATATTTTTAGATATGGATTAAGTGGGAAAATGCTACAAAAATTGCTATATTTTCTTTGAAGTGTTGAGTAATGCTCAATCCCACATAGTATTGGAAATACTATTGGGAAGTGTATTTAAGGCTTGGATTTCCCATTTCCTTGTTGAGTGAAAGAGAACAAGGGGCACTCTCGGGCGCCGCTGCCGCCGCCGTCTCGTCTCGGGTCGTGGTAATACGTGTCTTCGACACGTCCGCGCGGATATTATCTTTTTAGAGAGACAAATGCAATACGTGGTCGTGACCGTTTTGCGATTCTTGGAAGATCGCGTTGCGATTTTCTTTTCAACGTTGCGTTTTTCTAAATCGCGTTGCGATTTTGTTGGTCATTTTGGCAAATCAAAAAAAATTTGATTAAAATCGTATATTATAAGATATTTTCGGTCACTGACGTTTTTTTCTCTTTACAAAATGTGTTTAAGGACATCGAGTTCTATAAAAATTATTTTGAATATACATTGTGTTGTACTTATTCATATTAATAAAAAAAACTATAATATTATGATGAAATTAAAATTTTATAATTAGAAAATTTAAACATTGATGTTTTTTTCTCTCTTATAGTTCAAAGATTGGGTTTTTTTTGTTTAAAGTTTCATCATTTTTCAGTAGCAGTTGAGTGTCCGGAAAAAGTGGTGAAAACAGTGTCTGTTTATAGGTCTAAAAGCTCTAAACTAAACTACCATTCTTCTTCTTCTTCTTCCTCTCTCTGTGTTTTTAGAGTTGGAACATGCTCTTGTTGGAGCCTCCGATTTTGTCTCCGGTTTGGTTTTTCTTCTTCACTTGTCTTTCTCTGTAATAAACTGAAATCTCCATTGTTGGAACAAGCAAGCTTCTTATTCTTTTCAAAGGAGGTGTTTTTTTAGTGTGGTTCACGTTAAAAAATGGTGATGGTAGCTACCGCCGTGATCCACCTTCTTCCACTTCTTTTCCTGTTTCTCTCAGCCGTGTCGACGACCGTTTTTTTGGATCACGACCACCACCGACGTTGTCTCCTCCACCAGCCTTTCTTCCGCATACTTCCCTCCCACCAACTTATCCTCCTGCTGCTTCACCACCATTTCCCTCGCCGCAACCTCAGCCTCAGCCTCAGCCTCGTCAAAAAACAAAATCCGAAGTATCCTTTCTCCACTACTCCGCCTTCCACCCCTCAAGCTCCATTTTGTCTTTCCTTCCCTTCTCCTCCACCGCCTCCGTCTCTGCCGTCGACCCTCCTTGCTTTTCCCGCCAACATTTCCTCCCTGCTCATACCCCACTCTCCTTCCCCCTCCTCTCACCGCCGTCACCTCCTCCTCATCTCCCTCTCCGCATCCCTCCTCGCCGCCACCATCATCCTCTCTCTCGCGGCCCTCACCCTCTTCCTCCGCCACCGCAGCCACCAAAACATTTCCTCCGAAGACAAAGCTTCCCGTTCAGACTCCCTCCGGTTATTCCCTCCGAACATTCCCCCTTCCGATGCCTCACAGAAAACACCACCTCCACCGCCGCAACAACCGCCGCGGTACGTCTCGACGAATCGTATTTCGGAGTTCCTTTATTTGGGTACCCTTGTTAACACTAGAGTAGACGCTGCTAAAGCAACGACAACCCTTTCTAGCAATGTGGGTATCAAGCTAGGAGTCTCGTCTTCTCCTTATCAAAAGCTCGGCTCTCCTGATCTGAATCCATTGCCGCATTGCCAAAGGTCCAAACTTTTCAAAGTGGTGAACAGTTCATCCAAGTTCCTCTAATGGGTAGCTTTCAAACCAACGTTGAAGTCGAAGAAGACGAGTTCTTTTCACCGAGAGGATCTTCACATGGAAAAGAGAGTCCTCCACAAGTAAGAACCGAGTCGAGCTCGAGGAGGGACTTTCATGGCGAAATCTATTACAGTCGAAGCTTCAACTCGAGAACTGCTTCGTACCCTTATTATAACTCATGCTCACCATCAGATTCATTCTTGAACTCAAGTCCTTTGAGCCAAAGATCTCCAGATACTGTCGTCCCCATCTATACAGTGAAAGTAACGAATCCATCTTCAAATTCGCCTTCATCTTCGAGATTATCTTCGTCATCTTCGGAAAGGTATTCTCCTGATCGAGGTTCGAGTTTTTCAGGTCAGAACAAGGAATCTCCATCAAGGGTTGTGCTTAAAAAGCTTCCACCGCCACCTCCACCTCGACCTCCACCGCTTCCACCGCGCGTTTTTGGGAGGTTCCCACCGTGGCGAACTATGTTCCGGAGACTAAAACAGGTGGACCGCCGGTCCTTGTTGCACCCTCCAGGCCAGTAGTGTTGCAGAATAATGAAGGCTTAGAGAGGAATGCCGCCGAGACTCCGAAACCGAAGTTGAAGCCTTTGCATTGGGATAAAGTTCGAGCGTGTTCGGATCGAGCCATGATGTGGGATCAGATAAAATCAAGCTCATTTCAGTGAGACATTCACATCCCTATTTAGTATCTGTTCATTGCTTTTTTAAATGTTGTTTAAGCAGTAGAATGCTATAATGGTGCTTGCAGACTGAATGAGGAAATGATCGAGACGCTGTTCACGGTGAATAACTCAAATTTGCCCGCCAAAGACATCGGTCGCCGGCAGAGTTTGCTGACTCCTAATCAGGGAAACCGCATGCTCGATCCGAAGAAATCTCAGAACATTGCAATTTTGTTGAGGGCACTAAATGTGACCATTGAGGAAGTATGTGAAGCTCTTATGGAAGGTAATCAATCCATATACATGGCAAATACGATTAACTGGTAAAATGATGGAAACATAGCTCCTTAGAGTCTAGGGTTACATTACAATGCACCGGATCTCCCGGCTTGAAATGATTTACTTGTGCCTCTACCGGGAAATTTCAAGTTCGATACTAACACAGACTCTAATGATTTACTGATGTAGCATTGGTATAAGATATAATTCTCTATCCCATAGTTGAGACAGGGTTCTCATTTCTCAGTTGCTGTCTATTGCCTGTTCTGTCTCTACTTATTTTGATGAGGTTCGGGTCGTCGATGGAAATCCAGTGAAGATAACTGTGTATTTTTTTTATAAGAATAGGAGGCCTCATTGAAAACCCCCTTCATGATTAATGGAGCTCATAGGCAGCTCCTTAATCGGAGGAAGGAGGAAAAGGGTGCCTTAGAAATATATTAGAATCATGAAAAGTACATAGGAGTTACAACAACCTACAAGTCACTTAGTAGGAAATATAAAAACATAAAAAACAGCCCTAGTTAACAACTCAAAAGCCTCTTTTGAATTTGAAGTTTCTGCATTATTCGGACTTAAACCTTCTTCGATTAGCTATTCTCCCCTACTATCCTTGAATGAGCTTCCTTATATCTTGCAGCTCCAACTGAAATCTTCCTCCCATCTATCAATACCCCATTTAATTTATCTACTGCCCTTTTCAGACCTGCCTCACTCTTAAACTGGACAAAAGCAAAAGTGGAAAATCTGTATTTTGGATTTCTTGTTTCTTTGGGAATGAAAACTCTCTCAACCGGAGCATGGAATAAGAACAATTCCCTTAACGCACGTCGAGACACTCTCCTACTAAGATTGTCCACGAACACCGTCCAAATCTCATCGGAAACTAACTTGCCTTTCAACTTTTCTCTCTACGTCTCTATCTTTCTCGCTCATCTTTTCTCTCTCTCCCTCTAGTACCGAGGTCTAGCTCATCTTCACAACCGCTGGATTCCTGAAAAAAAGCTGCTGTCTGAGGCTCCAACACTTGTTACAGAATATAATAGAAATCAGGTTCTTAGTAGTTTTTCATCTTTAACTGTAACGGTTACAAATGGAGAACGAGATGCATATCCAAGTTTAGTGGAAAGAAAAATATTGATGTATGTTTTCCCCTTCCTTGTGCAACGTGTGAGGGTTGATCATTTTTTCAGGGATCAGGTGGAAATCAGAATGGACTATTCCAATTCGTCTCCTTGTAGAAGAGAGTTATTGTTTCCTACAAAGTCTGGTAACAAAGATTTAGATTGCACTTATGAGTGGCTAGTGAAATGGACTGGCCTTGGTTATGAGAAAACTACATGGAAGATGGAGAGTTCTTCATTTATGACATCACCTGAATCTATGAAGCTCATAAGAGATTTTGAAATTCGGCAACAAAAGTCAGAAGGATTGTCTTCCAAATCCGAAGAAGAGGAGGTGCTGCTCAATATATAAAAACTGACATCAGATTAAAATTGTACTTATTTACTTGCTGCATATTTTTTTTGTCCATCTCTTATGTCCAGGATAAAGCTACATGTTTTCTTTCATACAATGCCTCTCTATGTCTGAGCCTCCTTTTTTCTATAACTAGTTCATAGGCCTTACTAAGTAAAAGTATGTGGGTTGGAATGCAGAAGATAGTCGAATTAATTATTGGGAAATCATTGAGAACTTGGTGTAATGTTTTTTGGGAGTTGATTTGCTTGATAACTGTTGGAACGTCATCTATCTCTTGAAAATTTTCTCTGCCCCTTCCACTTTTGTTCTGATCTTTGGTTTCTCTGTCTGCTTGTTGGTTTGGTCATTTGATTGGAATCTAGGATGGTAAAAGCTGTATAACAGCTGGATGAGGTCAGATGCTATCAATTAGGTTACAGAACTCTATTAATTCTAAGATCCTTCTGTATTGATTGTTAAGATGTTGACTATATCTTGCATTGAGATTCCTACGTAGTTGGGGTTTCTGGAAAACCGGATGATAAAGTAATAGCATGAGCGTGCTTTTCTAGTGTGATTGGGGCACCTTGAGCTTGCATTGTGTAACTTCCTAGTAGGCAACTGACTTGAAAAACGTCTTCCGTCTCTGTTAGACATCGTGGTTGTTTTGCTCACTCTTTAGGAGAAATGGGTCCTGATTTTAGTCCCAAAATGGCTGTTAAATCTATGACTGATCAGTAGATGGTTCGCATTCAGCAGTTATTTTATCAGGCTAAATTTGACGACCCCGGTGGTGATGTAAGCTACATTTGTTTGATAGTCCGATTTTCTGTCAATAATACAAATAGTGCCTTTCTATTTTATGTATTACTGCAACTTGCATTTCAAAACACTTTCCCTGTTAACTTCAATGCTCTTTTCAGTGTCTAAGCCATGCAGATGAATACAATCTCCGCTCAGGAATTATAAAGGAACTACACCCTGCTATGGTTGCAACTTATTCTGGCAGGTTTGTCCCAACGGGCTGACTTAGATCAATAATACACCTTGCTAAAATAATGGCGGATAAGTTCATTGATAAATGATTGATTATTTATACATTTCAAATAAAAGCATACCAGAAATTGGAATCATTGACTCGGGTGTAAAAGTCAGTCACGAATCGTTTCACGATGAAAATATTCCTGATATAATCCTTGACGACAAATGGAGAGGAGGCAAAATAAAAGTTCAGGTAAAATCTTTTACTTCTTTATTTAAACCTAATTCATATATTTTTGTTAACTATAAAGAATTTTAAATAGTTTATTTCATCAGTTAATTAGGACTAAAACCATAATCCTATTATGATTGAATGCAGAAAATTGGTCGCCTTGATGGATTTTATCAATTTCAGTTCTGCTGAAGATCTAGATCGTCATGGGACTAAATGTGCTTCAGTTGCTGTCGGCTCCCGTGTGAAATTAGAATTTCTTAAAGATTTTGATGGAATTCCAAATAACTCGTTCTCAGGTGCAAATCCAAACGCAAGAATTGCTTCCTACAAGATTCATAGTAGCGAAGTGGAGGAAGAAGGTGAAGTATACAAACAAACAACAAAAGCAAAGATCCTTGAAGCGATCGAACAAGCAATCAGTGATAAGGTGGATGTGATATCTATTTCTCTAGCAAAACGAATGACTAAAGAAAGTCTTATCTTGAAGACATGATCAATCTTGGAGCCTTCTCAACAATTGAAGAAAATATTGTGGTTTGCACATCAGCTGGGAATTATGGTGATGAAAATCCAATAGTTACTTTAGCACCTTGGGTCATTACAGTTGGGTCTTGTGATTCTGGTGGCCGATTTGTCACACATATTTTGTTAGGAGATGGATCGAGAGTTAAGGTAACATTAATTTCATTTTTTCAATAAAAAGTGTTTATCAAAATTACTAATATTACTTTTATCGATACAGGGAATCGGTACATTCTTCCCTGTAGACAGAGAAATTCATTAAGTTTTTGTGTTTCAAGTAAGTTAATTATCGTTTGTCAAATTTTATTAATAAAATTTTAATTGATTAAATTACTGACATGATATACCGATCTCTATCTTGTAGTTATTATCAAGAAGAACGAAGAACACTTGCAGATATGGATACACAAATAATTGTTTGAAAACGCGCAAAATGTTCAATGGCCAAAAGTTTACGAGGAAGGATAGCAGGAAATTTGTTTGTTGAAGTAAAACTTGATAAAGATATCCAGGATCAATTCGGATTCCAAAATCTTTATATGGAACTATCAAAGGCGCAGAACTTATAGGTTATATTGTTCGTGAGAGGTATGTTTTTGAAAAGATAAATATACTATATTTTACAAATTAAATATTTAAATTTTATAATATTTTTCAAGAAATCAAAAAGGAAACCCATCATAAAATTTTTGAGGAGCATTTACGAAGAAAATAAGAACATTGTACAGTAAGTATAACATACGAGAGATGTCCAAATCCATATGATGGTTATATTCTCAAGGTATGTAGTTATAATTATAATATTTTTTACATTATGGATATGTAAATAGGGATGGCAACGGGCCGGGTATTGGTTCCCCGTCCCCGTCCCTGTTAAAAAAACCCGTACCCGACTCCGCTTAAAAAACCGCTGGGATTTAAACGGGATCCCCATCGGGTAATCGGGAAAAAATCGCGGGGAAACAGATATCTCGTTTAGCATAAATGGTTATTTAAACGGGTATCAGGTCGGGTATATATATATTTAAATTAAATATATAAATATTATATATATATATTAATTTAAATTAAATTTATTAATATATATATATATAATTATTATTTTTAATATTTATCGGGCCGGATATCGGGCTAGGTAATCGGGGCGGGGATTACCAAATCCGTCCCCGTTTAGCATAAACGATTTTTTTCCGTCCCCGTCCCCGTTTAATTTGATTTTCGGTTTTCCCCGTCGGGTTCGAGTTTTTTTGCCATCCCTATATGTAAATACAATTTACATGTTTATATTTAACGGTTATTAATATTTTTTTAAAATTTTAAGGTATTTTTATTTTATAGTATTCATGATTTATTTTAATTTTGATCTTGCAATATGATGATATATGTGCTCCAGGATAAAATACCATACGTAGAAACAAATGTGATTCAATTGATATGTATGGGGGTTATTGCATAGGAAATGTTCTCTCAATTTCTACTTCAATGGTGGCGAGAATGGTCTCATACATTTAGACAATTCATTCCTCTGGGAATCCTGCAAGAATCAAGTCTGCAATAATGACTACAGGTAAATGTTAAATTAAATTATGAATAAAATATGTATTTTTCAAACGATATTGTTTTAAAATTTTTAAATTTTAGTATACAATTTTGGTACCATCCAGTTTCGATACTAGTTATAACAGTAGTACCAATATTCCTAGGATCTATATTGATACTCTTATTTGTCTCTATAGGCTATTTTTTTAATTTGAATGACTTAATAAATATGTATGTAAATATATGTTTATGTTAAATATGCAAATTATTGTGCATATTCAATCTACATACGTTTGTAAATTTATATATTATCACTTGTGATTTTACTTTACGTAATATTATGATAGCAATACATTTAAAAGATATTGATGGAAGAGGTTTGATGGGATTAGGAGTTGGACGAACAAACTCGTTGCAAGCCATTGAGTCCGGTTTAGTTTATGACATAAACAGAGATGAATTCAGAAGATATCTTCTAAGCCGACCAGCAGAAATAATGATGTTATCAAGAATTGTTGGACTGGATCCAGGGGAACAAATAGCTGGAAACAATATAAACTTACCAAGTTTCAGTATGATCTTAGCAAACAATACTTCCTACACGTTTGACAGAGTGGTTACAAATGTTGGTCCTAAAAGTTAATGTATCGACAGAGCTGCTATTAAGCGAGAGAGTATATCTCATTCACATGTTGAGATTTTTGTTGAGCCTTCTATGTTGAAATTCAACAACATCGAAGACAAACAACATTTCAAATTAACAATAAAGAGCTCGATTATAGAAAGCAAAATGGTGGCGAATGCAATGTTTATATGGACTGAACAAGAAAATAATCGTCTGCAGTTATTCTCATGAGAGGTCAAACTTTCGGTTAGTATGAATATACTTGAATTAGAATTTTGATTATTTGTTAACATTTTATCATCCTTTAAATTAATTTTCTTTCTTTTTTTTAATACAAATATGGTACCCGGAGTAGACTTGTATAAAAAACAAGTGGAGGCGTTTGAACAAGTCCAATAACATCAATAACTCTAAATTAATTTTCTTGGACTGTTCGATGTTTTTGGATTTGTTCAAACGCCTCCACTTGTTTCTTATACAAGTCTATCTCAGATACTATTTTATTATTAAATAAAAGGAAGAAAATTAATTTGAAAGAGGATAAAATGTTAACAAATAATCAAAATTCTAATTCAAGTATAATTATACTAACCGAAGGTTAAACACCTATCATGAGAATGAGACTGTAGACGGTGTGTGGCTCACTATTTTCTTGTTCAGTCCATACCTACCTTGCATTCGCCACCATTTTGCTTTCTATGATCGAGCTTTTTATCGTTAATTTGAAATGTTGTTTTTCTTCGATGTTGTTGAATTTCAGTATAAAAGACTCAACAAAAATCTCAACGTGTGAAGGGCATATACTCCCTCGCTCAATAGCAGCTCTGTAAGTACATTCATTCTTAGGACCAACATTTGCAATCACCCTGTCAAACGTGTAGGAAGTATTGTTTGCTAAGATCGTACTGAAACTGGTAAATTTAGATTGTTTCCAGATATTTGTTCCCCTAGATCCAGTCCACCAATTCTTGATAACATTATTATTTCTGCTGGTCGTCTTAGAAGATATCTTCTGAATTTATCTCGGTTTATATCATAAACTAAACCGGATTCAATGACTTGCAACAAGTTTATTTGTCCAGCTCATAGTCTCATCAAATCTCCTTCATCCTTATCTTCTAAATGTATTCTATCATAATATCACGTAAAATAAAATCACAAATTATAATATATAAATTTACAAAAGTATATAGATTGAATATGCACAATAATTTACATCTTTACCATAAATTTACATGCATATCTATTGAGCCATTCGAAGTAAATAAATAACCAATATGGGAAAATAAGGTATCAATATAAATCCTAGGAATATCGATACTATTGTTATAAGTAGTATCGAAACTGGGTGAGTACCGATACTAAAATTTTGAAAATTTTAAAACAATATCGTTTGAAAAGTAAATATTTTATTCATAATTTAATACTTACCTGTAGTCATAATTGCAGACTTGACTCTTGCATAATTCCAAAATGAATGAATTGTCTAAATGTATGAGACCATTCCTGCCACCATTAGAGTAGAAATTGAGGTATCATTTCCTATATAATAACCCTATACATGTCAATTGGATCTCATTTGTTTGCACATAGGATATTTTCTCTTGTGGCACAAATATCAGGTTATTGCAAGATCAAAATAAATCATGAATATTATAAAATAAAAATACTTTGAAATTTTAAAAATTTGGTTATAAACAAGTAAATTATATTTACATATTCAAAGCGTAAAAAATATTGTAATCATAACTACCTACCTTGAGAATATAACCATCATATGGATTTGGACGTCTCCCGGATGTTGTACTTAGTTTACAAATGTTCTCGTTTTCTTCGTAAGTTCTTTTAAAAAATTTTATGATGAGTGTCCCTTTTGATTTCCTAAAAAATATTATAAAACTTAAATATTTAATTTGTAAAATATAGTTTATTTTTCTTTTGAAAAACATACATCTTACTAACAATGTAACCTATAAATTCTGCGCCTTCTAATAGTTCCATATAAAGATTTTACAATTCGAATTGATCTTTGATACCTTTATAAAATTTTACTTCGACAAACAAATTTCCTGCTATGTTTTAAGAAACCTACGTAATAATATTCCATCATGGTAAATGCTTTGCTAACTACAACAGTTGAAGGAAAAAACTTACCTTGTACCATGTAAATGGGGAGGGAGTAGAATCAGGCTTCAATTCAGTCCATCCGGCTCTCTCATTCTCTTATAATTTGCTATGGGGTGTGAATAACTGTGTATTCGAATCTGTTTCGTACTTGCTTTAGGGGTTTTGCTGTAAATAGTCCACCCTCGCCTTCAAATCTATGTCTAAACTACTTTGAATTTCTTCTCTCTGAACAGGTAATTCAGACACTCTCGGGACCGAGCTGCTGGAAAGTTTATTGAAAATGGCTCCAACCAACGAAGAAGAGCGTAAGCTGAAGGACTTCACTGATGAGTCCCCTTTTAAGCTAGGTCCGGCGGAGAAATTCCTCAAGGCAGTGGTCGACATACCTTTCGCCTTCAAAAGGGTTGGTGCGATGCTTTACATTGCTAATTTTGACTCAGAAATTGAGTATCTGAAACGGTCTTTCGAAACTTTAGAGGTAAATCTCAGTTCCCAGTCTGTATGCATATGGTATTCATGGTTGATGCATACTGTATCTGTTCTGAATCGAAGGATTTTAATATTTCGGTTTACTGTTTCGTTGAAATTCTGCAGGCCACTTGCGGAAAGCTACGAAACAGCAAAATGTTTCTGAAGCTTTTGGAGGCAGTTCTCAAAATCGGGAACCGCATGAATGTCGGCACCAACCGAGGCGATGCCCAAGCGTTCAAGCTCGACACACTCTTAAAGCTCGTTGATGTAAAGGGCACCGATGGAAAAACCACGCTTCTGCATTTTGTTGTTCAGGAAATTATCCGACCCGAGGGTTCTCGCCTTTCCGGTGCCAATCAGAATCTGAAAGCTGAGAAAACACAGCAGTCTGATTTTCAGGATGATGTCGAGTTTAGGCCTGCAAGTTGTTTCTGGTCTAAGCGGGAAGCGAACCAACGTGAAGAAGGCTGCGGCTATGGACTCTGACATTCTCAGCATCGATGTTGCAAAACTTGCTACTGGTATCTCTAAAATCCGAGAAGTTATAAAACTAAACGAAGAGATTGCTTTGAAAGACAGTAGCCGCAAATTCTCGGAATCGATGATCGATTCCTCAAGAAAGCCGAGGAAGAGATTTTCAGGATCCAAGAACAAGATAGAGTGGCCCTCTCTATGGTGAAGGAGATAACCGAGTATTTCCACGGCAACTCAACCAAGGAAGAAGCTCATCCATTCCGGATCTTCATGGTTGTAAGGGATTTCCTCTCGATCCTCGATCAAGTATGCAAGGAAGTTGCAAAGGTGAATGAGAAAACGATATACAGCTTGGCTCGACCATTTCCAAATCCCACCCTGCTACCGGTTTTCCCCGGACTCAACGTAACACAACACGACGGCTCCTCAGACGAAACCTCATTGTCGTCGTTGTAGTTCATTTGTCAGTAAAAATGTGAATATTATGATATGATGTAAATAAACCAGTGGATTTCAGTTGATGTTGAAAGTAGAACATGTGTTTTTGTGAAGGTGTCTTGAATATTAGATGCCCACACACAATGTTTTGATGGAGGAGTGGGGACAGGGCATTGAAGGGCAGGTCCCATCAAATCAATGTTATAGGGATATGTCTGTTTCTTTGTGGCTGAGAGGATCCTTCTATTTAGGGCAAATAGAGAAATGGCGTATGCCAAGATAATATTTTATTCAAAGATAAATTTTAATTATTTAATATTAAAGGTTGTTCACTTCGTGTAATAGATCTTTTAGTTGAACGAATAATTTGATATTTTTAAATAATATAAAATGATCATAAAATAATATTTTTTGAAATAAAATTTAGTTATAATAATGTGTACACATTCTATTAATGTAATTGATTAAATATGAAAGAATAATATTTTATTTTGTAAATAATGCATTTAGTAATTAAATTATCAGTTTTGAGACGTTTAAGTATTTAAACTTTAATTTTTTAAAATCATGCTAATATTTAATTTTTGTTTCATTTTAATACCGTTAAAAATTAACATTAAATTTTAAATAAAAATGAAAGTTCATGAATTAAAACGGATCAAAATCGATGATTTAGCTACTAAGTGCGTTAAATAGTTAACGAAGGTGTACTAATATGAAGTAAAATTTAAACATTAAGTGTGATTTTGAAAAAAATTAAAAAAATTATATATTAAAACAGATTAAAACTGATAGTTTAAATACCAAACGCGTGATTTACCCTATTTTCTTTTACCATTGCTGAATAGATTCCCGTATACTTTAACATATTTATTCTCATATCCCAAAAATCGGTAAGGTGATAATTGAAAAGATGAAAAAGTTAAAGGGTATAAATGTATTTTAGTGAATACGCTAGGGTTCGTAATTTAAAACGACCCGCTCGCGTAACCATTCGCAGATCCCCCCAATTTGGAAAAGCAAATTATACTATTCATCAATTCCCTTTGCAACGATTTTTCTATCGAACTGATCAAATAACTGGAAAAGGTATGCTCTTTACACTGGATTCTTAAGCACGCTTGGTTGAATTGAATACAACTGTCTTATTTTTTGTAGGGTTATATTCTAGTAATCGCTTTCTCTACTTCCAGTAACGAAGATGAGTACAACAGGGGAGAAAGGGTCAACAACTACAAAAACACCTGCTGATTTCCTTAAGTCGATTCGTGGTCGGCCGGTCGTCGTGAAACTGAATTCCGGTGTTGATTATAGAGGTTGGTCTCAGCATCCGCTCTTTCGCCTTGTGATTGTTTCATCTATATATGCTTTTGTTCCTTTTTTTTTCTGTAAGTTTTGTTTGTCCATTTGATTTTCGGTTTTTATGCTTGATTATTGTTGTTAATGTGCTGGGTTAAGTTAAAGATGGAACATCTTGGAAATTGTTTGTTATTGGAGATAGATTTGCATTGACATCTTGTTTGGGTTTGTTTATTTCATTAAGTTCTCTCTTTCATGCATGTGTAGAGCTTAGCTCAAGCTCTCGGAAAGGGAAACGAGTACTGTTTTACCTTTGTATAAACATCATGACTTTACACCTTTTCTCATGCCGATGGTCTATGTTACTCTAACTTGAGTGTGTCGGATATGGGTGTGTGTCCAATGTGGGTTTGGGAGATCTTCGAACTGTCATATCTCCTGCCCGAGTTTTGGTCATGAAGTTCTGTCTTTCAAGCATGTGTAGAGCTTACCTCATACTCTCTGAAAGGGAAACGAGTACGGTTTAACCTTCGTATAAACATCATGGCTTTACACCTTTTCTCATGCCGATGGTCTATGTTACTCCGACTTGAGTGTGTTGGATATGGGTGTGTGTCCAATGTGGGTTTGGAGATCTTTGAACGATCATATCCCCTGCAGGAGTTTTGGCCATGAAGTTCTCTTTCCAGCATGTGTATAGCTTAGCTCAAGCTCTCAGAGAGGGAAACGAGTAATGTTTTACCTTCGTATAAACATCATGGCTTTACACCTTTTCTCATGCCGATGGTCTATGTTACTCTGACTTGAGTGTGTTTGATATGGGTGTGTGTCCAATGTGGGTTTGGGAGATCTTCGAACGGTCATATCCCCTGCACGAGTTTTGGTCATGAAGTTGTCTTTCAAGCATGTGTAGAGCTTAGCTCAAACTCTTTGAAAGGGAAACAAGTACCGTTTTACCTTCCTACAAACATCATATCTTTACACCTTTTCTCACGCCGATGGTCTATGTTACTCCGACTTGAGTGTGTTGGATATGGGTGCTTGTCCAATGTGGGTTTGGAAGATCTTCGAACGGTCATATCTCCTGCCCGAGTTTTGGTCATGAAGTTCTGTCTTTCAAGCATGTGTAGAGCTTACCTCATACACTCTGAAAGGGAAACAAGTACGGTTTTACCTTCGTATAAACATCATGGCTTTACACCTTTCTCATGCCGATAGTCTATGTTACTCCGACTTGAGTGTGTTGGATATGGGTGTGTGTCCAATGTGGGTTTGGAGATCTTTGAACGATCATATCCCCTGCAAGAGTTTTGGTCATGAAGTTCTCTCTTTCCTGCATGTGTATAGCTTAGCTCAAGCTCTCGGAGAGGGAAACGAGTAATGTTTTACCTTCGTATAAACATCATGGCTTTACACCTTTTCTCATGCCGATGGTCTATGCTACTCTGACTTGAGTGTGTCGGATATGGGTGTGTGTCCAATTTGGGTTTGGGAGATCTTCGAACAGTCATATCCCCTGCACGAGTTTTGGTCATGAAGTTGTCTTTCAAGCATGTGTAGAGCTTAGCTCAAACACTTTGAAAGGGAAACGAGTACCGTTTTACCTTCCTACAAACATCATATCTTTACACCTTTTCTCACGCCAATGGTCTATGTTACTCCGACTTGAGTGTGTCAGATATGGGTGCGTGTCCAATGTGGGTTTGGGAGATCTTCGAACAGTCATATCCCCTGCAGGAGTTTTGGTCATGAAGTTCTCTTCTTGCATGTGTATAGCTTAGCTCAAGCTCTCGGAGATGGAAACGAGTAACGTTTTACCTTCGTATAAACATCATGGCTTTACACCTTTTCTCATGCCGATCGTCTATGTTACTCTGACTTGAGTGTGTCGGATATGGGTGTGTGTCCAATGTGGGTTTGGGAGATCTTCGAACGGTCATATCCCCTGCACGAGTTTTGGTCATAAAGTTCTGTCTTTCAAGCAGTGTAAAGCTTAGCTCAAACTCTCTAAAAGGGAAACGAGTACCGTTTTACCTTCCTACAAACATCATGGCTTTACACCTTTTCTCACGCCGATGGTGTATGTTACTCCGACTTGAGTGTCTTGGATATGGGTGTGTCCAATGTGGGTTTGGGAGATCTTCGAACAGCCATATCCCCTACACGAGTTTTGGTCATGAAGTTCTGTCTTTCAAGCATGTGTAGAGCTTAGCTCAAACTCTCTGAAATGGAAACGAGTACTAGTTACTTTCCTATAAACATCATGGTTTTACGCTATTTGTCATGCTGGTGATTATGCTACTCAGACTTGATTGTGTTGGATATGGACATGTGTTGTCTTCGGGAGATCACCGAAGGGTCATATCCCCATGCGCAGGTTTTGATATGCACCTAACATGAGTATTTCAATAGAAAAAATGAAAAATAAAAGAAAAAATAGCAGATAGTTTTTCTGTTCCGAATTCAAAAAATTTCCTTTATCTTTCCTGGATTTTTATGCCCTTAATATCCCTCCCTCACTTGCAGGCATTCTAGCTTGCCTAGACGGGTATATGAACATAGCCATGGAGCAAACTGAAGAATACGTCAATGGACAGCTGAAAAACAAATACGGTGACGCTTTTATTAGAGGGAATAACGGTAATTATTCTAGGATATCCTTAAATCTTTTGGTTATTTATACATCTTTGCTGACAGTGATAGTGAATTTCATTATATTTATGCAGTACTTTACATAAGCACATCAAAGAGGACATTAGCAGATGGGGCTTAGTATTTGCAACTGCATCAAGAAAGCAATTGTTAAATCTACAAATCCTTGCTTTTTGTTATCGATTTGTTCATAGGGTTTGAGGATTTTAGACATTTGAATGAAACATTGAAAGCTGTTCTGTTCTGTTGAATTGTCTAATACTTGCATTCCAAGAGCAATGTTCCCTTTACTGTTCTAAGTTTGTATGTGTTATTGTTCCCTACTGCAACTGCAGGTATTGATTACCCCTTGTCACAATTACAGGCAAGTAAATGTTGATTCAAATCGATTTAACCTATTTTAACTGATTGTCTTTGGTTCGTTTAGGTGGGTTGAGACCTAAATCAGTCGGTTAAAATACGAGCTATGGATGTACAGATGACATTAAATCTTTGTTATCTGGATTTTTTATTAAAAATTTTATATTCGCTAGCGGTGAAAGAGATGATTGTTATCTCTAGAGGTCTCAGGTTGTAATCACTTTAGATTATAATAGAAAAAAATGAATATGAACAAAAGTTTGAACAAAAGTTTTATGATTTAGATTCCACAAACTCAAACGAGGACTAAATAATACTCAAGAATCTTACTTCTATGATTTAGATTTGAGTTGACTCATAAATATCATTAGTAATTGACAGTATAATGGAGAATGATGTGTTAACAAGGTGGTGGGAAAAGAGTTGACTAATGACTTGGCGTGGGGTGCAAGGCCTTTCCACTTTTAATTAATTATTCAAACCCTTAAAACTTCATACCAATTCTCCACTATATTTGTAATTATCATTCACTTCTCTTGTGTTTCAAAGGCTACATCCACCATATCCAAGGTGACTATCCCTATGCGTTCGAATTTTCGAGTTTTGTTTTAAGTTATTCATGATTTGAATCTTGAACTATACTTGTTTTCTCATTTTGGTACTTAATAGTTTAGATACCAAAGTCCGTTTTGATGATACGAAATCCGGTTCTTGGAGACGAAGAACACGAAAAACCGACTGGAATTGATCATGCCCTTAATCAGGAAACCAAAAATAAGCCTGAAAAAAGGGTTCACCAGTTCTACTTGGTCAAGTTTTGGCCATATAAAGACCCTGATGAAGCATTCAAAATTGCAGAAGCCGAGAAGCTGATTGATAACTTGAATCAAAAGTTAAATCAAATGGACCTGCAATTCTCACTTCTGAAGGTACGTTTATGTGATTTATTCATTAAAATAACATTCACGTTTAACCATAGACATACATATGATTTTTATACGAAAAATATATTAAAAATTAGATTCAAAAGGTACGATTGACTCCGGTATTCCTTCGATCTATCCCTATGTTTAATAGTAATGTTTTTCCCCCTATTGTGGTGGAATCTGTGGACAGTTGAAATGGATAGACACACTCACAACTTGATCATCTAAGGCGTCAAGAAAGAATCATTGTTCTTCAATTTGAATTGCAAAAGCGGATATCGGATGATCTGCAACTTGTTTTGGATAAGCTTCATTCAGCCATTGTTCCACATGAACGCATAGGATCCCCAAATCATACTCAAGTAAGCTGCTCTCTAAAATCCACTTCAACCTTCTTTTTGAATCTAGAGTTTAAGGTTTAGAATTTAAGGTTACTACAGAATCATTCATCCGATCGTAAAATAATATTTAAGTTTCCTAATTTGATAACAACCCTTCTCTTCTTGTAATCATTAAGTAGTGTAGTGGTGTTTGCAGGGCTTTCAAAGCTGGATTTCACATGGAAGTATTAATTTGGGTATAGAAAGGAAGATGATAAAAGAGATGGCTAGAAGGCAGCACAGAGTCAATGATCTTGGTCTAACCAACTCACCTGTAGAAGCATTTGTAGGCTAATTATAATAACAATTTCTTCAATCTTTTTTAATAAGTATTCATTTCATTCCATTAAGCAGATTAATTTCCCTAATTCTTGTTAATTTTAAGCTATGGCAGATTATGAATTTCTGTTGGGGAAAAATAGAAAAACCAGGGTATACCGGGATGCTTGAAAAGCTTCAACAAATTGAAGACGGGAAGAAGAAAGCTTTGGCTCATTCTGCAGAAAAAGCCAACATTTTCAACCCCTTTAGTGTCAAAAGTGCTATAGAGGAGCAAATCAAAGTAATTCCCTTCTTCAAATTCCATGTTTTCATGTATGCTTTGTGATATTTCGGATACAGATAATGTCAGATTTAAGTAACTCTTTGACGTACGTTCAAATTTTCGTACAAGGATCGCATTGATTAATGTTTAAAGTTTAAATATTCAATTGATCTATATATATTGTAATGTCCATAGATTGTGAAGAAAATATCAATTGAACTAAGAGAGGAGGAACAAGAAGTGAAATCAAAGATCAAACGCTTAGAGAAACAACTTAAGCCTATGAAAGACAAGGCGTCGGTTTACCGTGCTCGGCGACCGGAGACGGCAAAGCGAAAGGAGGCACCCCAACGTCGCATTTTGAAACTGAGGCAAACATCTGTTAAGATGGTACCAAATATTTTACCCTAATTTGTTACTTCCATCTCTAAATTCAATTTCAATGATTAATATGGTAAAAGAAGTTAATGACCAAATTGGAAAAGTTATCAAGTTTAGGGACTAAAAGCTAGTTGAATCATTGATCCCTTATATTTTAGTCCAAAATATTATGAAAGACCCTGAGCTTTATCAGTTCATTTTAAGGCGGTATTTGTTCAGACGAGTTCTAAGTTGATTTATGTTAAATGTTATTTAGGTATAAATTAAAGATTAGGGGCTTATTTGAGTTATGATTTATTAGAGTATATATTAAAAATATAGGAAAAAAATGCATAAGAGGTCCTTATACTTAAAAAAATTCAATGTGGCCCTCGTATTATTTTCTCTCTCAATGTGACATTCCAACTCAGAAAATAAGCCTAATGTGACCCTTTAACCAACGTTTTTCATCGTTGACCGTTAAGGTGCTGATGTGACAGTTCACGATGCTAATGTGACGGTCCACGGCGGTTGATAACGTGACGGATAACATGATAAATGAGCTAAATTGATAATTCAAATATGGCAGATTGACTGTCACGTTAATACCGTGGACTATTTCATCAGTACTGTGAACTGTCAAGTCAGCACCGTAACGGTCAACAACGAAAAATTTTGGTCAAAGAGTCACATTGGGAGAAATATAAGTGTTGTTGTTTATTGAATTTTCTAATATGACATTTTGAATATGATAATTTTAAAAACCAAAAGAGTTATATTTAACGGGACATAGAAAATAATGTAATTACAGTTAAATCCCTCTAGAAATTATAAAATTATAAGTCAATTCAATGATGAAATTGCATTTTGATCCTTCACGGTTATCTCTTGATTCAGAATGGCATGTACGATGAATATGTTTCCCTGCTGAGCCATGCCAGAGAGCTTGCTAGGAACAAAGATATTGCAGCTCTAAGAAAACTATCACAACACCAGGTTTTATATGTCGGACCAAAAACAACATGTGATTTTAATGAATTTGTTCCATATCTTGAAGCTAATCTGTTGTGTTTTTGTTTGTCTAGGTCGAAGAATTCACGAGGGAGTGGAATAATCCCTACTTTAAAACCTTCCGAATTAATTACGAGTTTAGCATCTCAGATTCACTGCGTAATCGTCAATTGAGTCACCAAGGGAGGATTCGATTGCGGAACGACAGCAAAGAAACACTTCGATAAGTTAACAAGCTACTGTCAAGCTTATCGATTCGAGTTATATCTTATTTGATTCACTGCGTAATCATTTGTTTATTTTTAAAGGTGTTCATGTTCGGTTCATATTTGTTTAAATTTTTAGTATCGTGTTCGTTTATTTATTGTTCACGAACATGTTCGCTTAATGTTCGTGAACATGCTCATCTATATGTTCACGAACATATTCGTTTATATGTTCATAAACGTGTTCATTTAGTGTTCACGAACATGTTTGTTCAGTGATCGTTTATATTTTCAATTTTTAATTTTACCCTTTTAAACTAAAGAAAAATGATAAAATTATACCATTAGTGCTTAAACTCTTTAAAATTCACTGTTTAAATTCCGATTTTTATCATGTGTTCAATTTAGTCACTACCATCACCTATATTTAAAGTGTAAAAATTTTAAAAGAAAAACTGGGTAAATAAACTTGTTCATGAACATAAATAAACGGGTCAACAAACAATCTCATATGAGCTTATAAATGAGCTCATAAATGGATTATAGACGAGCTCATAAACGAGTCTGTTCATGAACATAAACAAACCGAACACACCTATGTTCGTATTCGTTCATTTATTAAATGAATATAAGAATTTTGTTTATACTCGTTTATTTAACTTAACAAACGAATATAAACGAACATATACGTACAATTCACGATAATTCACCGAACACTCTGTTTATTTACATCCCTAAGTAAATAAAACTAAAATATTTAAGTCAATTAACAACTACTTTAGTGTTTTGGATCAAATGTTAACTTTTTAAATGCACAAGAACTAAAATATTTCTTTTTATAGAAGGAATAAATAAACTTTTAAGCATAATACAATGATTAAAATATTTCTTTTATAAAAAATAAACTTTTAACTCATTCAAATATTAATTAAATGTATGTATAGTCTAGTTCACAAATCTAAAGCAAACATAGAGTGAAAGATCAATAGTTGAAAAATTAATATCGATTAAGTTGTACGAACCAAGTAGCTTCCGTGATAAATTGGGTTAAATCGAATTAAAATGAATCTAATTCAATCTAGTTATCTAATCGAATATTGAATTATAATTTAACTTAAAATTTTAAAACTCAAATATGAATTTAACTATATGTGATTTAATGAAGTATTATATTGGCGTATATCAATTAAATTATTGGTGACCAAGCATATGAAAGATGTTAACCATACCTTATCTGAGTCCACATGCTAGTGTCCTTACATCGATCACATGTCAATTTGGTTGGTACAATTTTGTCTTTACATCCATTGATAGTATAATTCTTATTGTGCCTTCATCTAAGACGACCCAGAATTTATATTAAGAGAGTAAACTTAAATTTATAAAATTTTACGATAGTGAACTTAAATCATAAAATTTAAGGAGATAAAAATAATTTTTTAATAAAATATATGAAAAATTTAAAACATATACTAATTTTAAATTTGCCCACACCCGCTCACCCCAAGATCCATCCTTTGCTGTCACCTTCAAAAGATAAGATGTATATATAGTGTAGTCCACACATCTAAAGCAGTCATATACAGTGAAAGAGGACTCCATGTCTCACTCGTTATTTTATATAATAAGCAAGAGTCAATTTTTAGCGGCGTCTTTTAAGTTCTATGGTGACGTTTTTTAATCTTATAGTGACGTTTTTTTAATCTTATAGTGGTGATTCTAAACGTCGTTAAAGAAATTTCTAGTGTTAATAAGAGAAATATAAGAAGTGCCATTAAGTTAAATTAAATACCAGAATAATTAACGATATTTTTTAATATAAAATACCGCAAAAGACCAAACTTTATAATAACATTTTGGAAACAAATGCCGCTAATTATCTTATATTCAATATACCCCTGGTTATAGCTAAACAACAAGGCGTTTATGGAGCAGGGTCCTTCACTATGTCTTGTTCTGGGAGTGCAGTCTTCTACAATGTCCATCAAGGGTTGCTTAATGTTCCCATTATTGAGCCTTGTGCCTATGGTGCACTATGGACCAATGAGTCGGGATGATCATCTTTCTAAAAGTTTTAAATTATCATATAATTTAAATATTTATTATTAACTATAAGTTTATTTTTCTAAAATTTTATAGGTTCACTTCTACCATAAAATTATGTGTCCGTTCATATTTATCTTTACTTCGAAGTTGCATCTTTCATTTATAACATAAAAGCGTATCCGACATAGTAAATTATAGTAGAAGGAGGTTCTCGTTAATAAAAAATACATTAGTTCTTTGGATTTATACTATGTTCTTTCCCATTTGTAAGCTATTTTACACATCAAAGAAAGGGATCGGCGAGTTCATCATTTTTCTTTCTTCTCTCAAATGCCAACATGATTTTGTACTTTGTTCAACTCAAAGTATTACTATAACATGCATTCTTGAAGATGAACCTTCCAAACACTCGAGCTCGAACTCGGAATCTTCATTCGGTTTCTTTCTCTTCCGAATTAACTAAACCTTCCCCTTATTTCCTGCAAAGAATCACAGGTAAAACACAATGTTCTCAGTTGTCTCACTCCGGTGGTTGGGACTGGGAACTGTAAGAGCAGTGGAGGTCTTCAGAGGATTCGGATTTATGTCATTTATCAGAGTCAGAGGAGCATAGATTGTAATGGTATTTTGAAATGAAAAAAATAAAGCCTAGGGAGAATTTGAGTTCATGATATGCCAAGGTACTCCGATAAAATTTCATTCATGCGTAACATACAAACTACCCGTTAACGGAAAATTCGGTGACGGAAGCTTACCAAGGAAGCTTGAATGTCTCTTTCCACCACCCTTGTTTTGCGCAACTGGTAACTATCTTGTCTAATCGAACGATGATTTCCGAAAAAGTCGGTCTTACAAGAGGTTCTGGATACCAGCATTCTGAAATAAGCCTGTTCATACAGTAATGGAAGTCAAGCTTAGAGTGTTAGCAAGTATATAATCCTATTCTTAATCTCGAATCCTAGGCTTACTCTCTTAATTCTGGCGGATAACTTTTCGATTTGGTCTTGAGTGGCGGTCTCTGTTGTTCGAAACACATCAAGTTCACCGCCTCTTCGGCAGGCTTAGGATGAAAAGGCACTCCTCCTTCAGTCATCTAAACTCATATAGGAACAAAACAGGACAGGCATTAACTCTTTCCACACATAGATAGTACTACTGATGAAATAATCACAATGGGGGAACTTTTGAGAGACCATGTACCTCATATAGCATAACACCGAAAGAATATGCATCGACACTTCGATCAAATATCATATTTTTTGAATCTCAGGTGCCATATATATCTACAGTAAGAATACCAAATCGTTAGCGGTTCAACCGTTATCTGAAAGATTACATGTATTTACTTGTATTGAAAGCCTTGAAAAATGCTGAAGTTTTTTGGTCACATACTTGATGGATCGAGTTGTTCGTCTGGACGTGCTAATTTCGCCTTGTCAGCTGATAATTTCGACAATATCAGCAAACCAAAACCGGCTATCTTCAACTTACCACCACTATCCAGCAAAATATTTCTGGCACCTTAAATTTCAAATATTAAAGGACAGTTCATCACAACTAGATTAAAAATTTCACTCGCGATTCCACAGACATTATATTAACTTCTATAGTGGTTCCCTTACTTGGCTGTAAATTGCAGTGGATGATGGGATCTGGTTTACATTCATGAAGGTAATTCATTCCCCTGATATCAAGAAAACATAAGGTCATAAAGTGAAGGAAGAGACATTAATGACTAGCATAAGATAATGTAGGATAGAAGAACAAGAAGCATAACCGGAACGTTATCGTATGAGCCTTGCATAGGTGAAAAATAGGACTAACGGTGCTTAAAAAGAGATACTATGGCAATATATTCTTGAAATATGAACTAAACCTGGCAATGTCAAGAGAAAATCTTAAGACTTTGGATAGTGATAGACGCCCTTTCTTTTGAAGGTAGCTTCCCAAGTCACCCTGAAACGAGGATCACGACCTTAGTAATGTTAAATTGGTGTCTTTCTCTAGGGAAAAAAAAACAAATTTTGCTGCTAAACTACTCTTTGTTGTAGAACCAAACTGAATGAAACTATGTACAATGAATCCGAAATATCAGAAGCGCTAATATATAATCCGAATTTTGCTGCTGAAACTACTCTGTTATAATTGAACATAGAAGCATGCATAAATAGTAATACTGATAAAATGAACAGATCAACAATTCAAAAACACATTCTTACATTTGGATGATAATCTAAAACAATCATCATGGGAACATTTTGCGTAACAGCTCCGACGAATTGAATCACATTCGGATGTCGAACCTTTTCTAGTAAAGTTAGCTCATACTTGAAAGCATTTCTGTTAAGAGAAGAGATACAAATGTATTTCCGTATTAGGCTCTGCAACAAATCGGATGTTGTCGTTCACATGAGTCAAGCACATATCTAAAAGGAAACAAGGTAAGTTCTTACATGCTCTCAGGGTCTGTGTAGCTTTCCTTATCCAATATCTTTACAGAAACCCTGGTGCCATTCCATTTTGCCACTTGATATAATCCCTGGCAAGTGATTTATGAAATGTCAACATTCAAGCATCATATAACATGAAATGCTAATCATTCACTGCAAATCAACTGACTTGTCTTTCGGATTGAACCATACCTTTGCTATACCGTCGGACTTCCGAATTTGAAGCTCCAGTGGGTTGAGCTCGTACTCCGGCACCTCTTGAGGGTTAGTAACAGTCATCGGTGTCTTCCTGGTTTTCTAATATCAAGACAGATGTGTAAATAACAATCTTCAAACAGGATTAAATACATCAATCATTGGTCACAAACAAAAATGATAAATATATAGGAGAAAAGAGAAGATGATTTGTTGTCTTACAGGAACTTTGGCTCCTCGGGCCTTCAAAATCTCATACACTTCTACATTGCCATAGTACTTTGCATCAGCAGCTGCCTGGCCATATAGACTTTTCCTTCAAAATGATTA